GGGCCCTGCAGCAGGCGGCGTGGAGGCCTGGGGCCCTGCAGCAGGCGATGGGGTCAGAGGTGCAGCAGGCGATGGGCTATGAAAAGTCACTGGGGTGGGTAGGCAAAACCTGGCACAGAGCATAGTTTTAACAAACTGTAACTGAGTGTCCAGACGTGTTAGGGAGCTCTCGACCCCTGAGAGCCACTCCTGGTCTGGCTTTCCATATTGGCGAGATTATTCTGTCACGGACCAAGGTTTTGGATTCAAAATAAGCCAGACACAGGAGTGCAAAAATTAAGAACAGCTTTTATTAATAAGGCTGCTGGTAGCTGCAGAGGGACGCCTTTAATGCTATGGACAGTGGGGCAATAAAAGTTTGTGGTCCAAAGGGCAATCCAAAAGGGTGATCCGTGAGTCGAGGTCATAGACTGAAGAGGAGGACGTTTCCATGGTCAGAGAGGCAGAACAGAACCAGATGAGGAGCAGGCAAAAAACGTGAAATCCAGAAGGCAGGTGTGAGGTCAATAATCCAGAGAACAAGGCTTGAGGTCTAGGCATGAAACTATGAGGGCTTGAAATTCAGGGACCATGGAAGGTGTAATAATCTCGCAGTGGTGGAGAGGGAAAATGGCTCTTATGAAGGGTGCAGAGCAGGTGAACCAGATGAGCTGAACAGGTGAGTGGAATCAGGGCTGATTGCTGTGATAAGCTGAGGGGGTGTGGTGAAGTGAGCAGGCAGAGGTGCAGGTTGACAGGAGATGAGAATAAACATGAACAGAAACTATGACCAGAATGGCAGAAAACATAGCATGTCATGAAGGGGCAGGGAAGTGAGCAGATGGGGGCCAGTGGGGGCCGCTGATCATGACAATCACACAACTTTCTGATGTAAGCTGGACAGGTTCTAGTGGTTCCTTAAACCCTGAGCTTCCCGTCCTCTCCATGAACTCACAGTCAGAGGTTTTATCATCATTTCAGCTACGTACAAGTACGTATTGAAATGAAACGGTGTTCCTCAGGATCATGGTGTAACACAGAACATAATGTGCAAAACAGCACAACACAGTGCAGATACACAACAGTACAATAAATACAGACATCTAACCTAATCTAAACATTTCATTCTAAACATTTAAGAGACAAGACAGAGACATGTTGATTAGTACATGTGTAGGTGGTACATGAGGTAGAAACATGTTCTGATATGTGGTTAGCAGTACAAAGTTTTTCTGTTTTTATAGCAGCAGAGATAAAAACTGAGTAAAGTGCAAAAATAAAAACTTGAGCAGACTGCAAAAACATGCATGTAAAAAAGTCACACACAGTACAACACAGTAGTTGTGTGTATTTAGGTTGTGTGTGTCAGAGTCCTTCATAAATCTGAGTGTGGGTCCAGATTTTGGAGGATAACATTACAAGGTGTTGCTGACGGCAAAGTTTCATGGAAAATCACACGGATGTTTTTTTGTAACAGCAGCTTTTACTGACTTTCATCTTCCTCCTTCGCAGAATGTGCCAAAGCCAGCACGGCTGACATTGTCTTCCTGGTCGCTGGCTCGTCCAATGTTGGCACCACTAACTTTCAGGAAGTTAGACTGTTTCTGCGAAATGTCATCTTAGGCCTTGACATCGGCCCAGACAAAGTCCGAGTCGGCTTGGCTCAGAACAGTGATGATCCCCACCAAGAGTTCCTGCTGAAGGACCATTTGGACGCCCAGTCTCTGCTGGCTGCCATCGACACATTTCCCTACCGGACAGGAGGCACAAAGATGGGCAAAGCCATAGAGTTCCTGCGTACGCAGTATTTCACCGAGGCCGCAGGGAGCCGAGCCAACCAACGAGTGCCTCAGATCGTCGTGGTCATCACAGACGGGGACTCCACAGATGATGTTGAGGAGCCAGCCCAGAAACTGCGACAGGAGGGGGTCATCGTCTTCGCTATCGGGGTGGGACAGGCCAACATGGAGAAGCTAGAGTCCATTGCTAACCGGCCTTCACAGCGTTTCCTGTTCAACATCGGCAGCTTCCAGGCCCTGCAGAGGTTGACAGAGGGTCTGCTGCAGACGGTCTGCGTCTCCATGGAGGACCAGAGACAGGGTAAGACAACGAGCTGCAGGACTTGATCAAACCTTCAGCAGATAGTTAATCCACATGTAAAACAAAGGTTTCAGTAAACTACTATCTCCCAAAAGACACATCCAGTGTGTTAACTGTTGAATGTCCTGCAGGTAGTTTCTAATTCTGACGGTCTGTTAGCAGGTTCACACTTGAACAGACATTTAGAACATTTAGAACGTATCGCTACTCGTCTTTATTTTCAGAAGGATTGTCTTTTGTTTTTCTTTGCAGCCTTGGCTGAAAAGTTTGCAGATATTTTCTTCCTGGTGGACGGCGGTCTCTCACAAAGTCAGTTCCAGCTGGTCAGAACCATCCTCACCCGACTGACCAATCAGCTCAACTTTGAAGCCTCGGCGTACCGACTGGGTCTGGCTCAGTACAGTCAGCAGGTGCAGGTGGAGTTTCTTCTCAATAAGCATCAAACCAAAGAGCAGACCCAGAATGCCATCAAAAGTTTCCGCCCACTCAGACTCTCACCCACTGATCCACGGAACCTGGGTGCCGCTCTGGAGTACGCCAGCACCAACATTTTCACCCGAGAGGCAGGAAGCCGAGCAGACCAAGGCCACCCACAGTTCCTGGTGGTTCTGAGTGGAAAGGACTCTGATGATTCTGTGTTTAAACCGGCCCGTCTGATTAAATCAGAAGGAGTAACGGTGGTGGGAATGAGCCTCGGTGCATCACTGACTGAGCTGCGTGTGATAGCCACACCACCACACGTTTACCAGTTCAACAACACCGCAGCGCTCCTGCTCAGGAAGACCTTTGAAACCGAGGAACCAGGGACCTTTGTAACTGGAGGTAAAGAAACTTTTTAATGTTTTTTTGACGATTAATGATTCAGTTCCCTGGCTGCTGAAGCTCTAGGAGGTGCATTTTAGATTACATCCAGTGCTTACACTCACCTGTGGTTTTTGAAGTTGTTCTTTTTGTTTTAAGAATCCAAGACTGTGGTCACACTAGTTAATGACCTTGCTCATCTCTACAGGACCCCCACGTCCTGTTAGAGCATGAACGCATCACAGAAAATCAGTGAGAAGGCAGTCATGATGTTGCTCGTAATATTTGTCAAATAAGTTTTCCTACTGTTTCCAGCATCTTTCAGGAACTCAAAGACACTCACCTGCACCTTTGCTCTACAAGTCAATGGTAAACGCTTACGCAGCTATAATTACAGCACAGCCAGGACTCTCTAACGGTGCTAGAACAATGCTTGTCACTGCCTTATCTGTTACGGAAGTGCGATCCGTAGTGCAGCTCATTTGCGCATGAGCTAAAAGGAATACTTCCGTGTCGAACGGATCGCAGTTAAATATGCTAGATTAAGGAAAATGTACTGGTATAACTCCGTTTATGAATAAGAACTGTCTTAATTTACTTAGAAAAGTATTTGCTCTATCTCCGCCCATCTTCATGTTACTAATTTACGCCACTCGTATTTCCGTTAAAATCATTGCCATATTTCCGTCATGGTTAAAATGATACGCAGCTTTACCATTGAACGGCGCTGTTTCACCGTAGAAATGATTCATTCTGTATCTTGCAGGGTTTTCTCATTCAGCCCAATGTGTCGCATATCATCTTAACCAATGACGTAAATATGTCCATGATTTTAACAGAAATACGAGTGGCGTAAATTAGTAACACGAAGATGGGCGGAGATAGAGCAAATACTTTTCTAAGTAAATTAAGACAGTTCTTATTCATAAACGGAGTTATACTAGTACATTTTCCTTAATCTAGCATATTTAACGGCGATCCATGTGACCCGGAAGTATTCCTTTTAGCGCATGTGCAAATGAGCTGACACTATGGATCGTGCTCACGTAACAGATCAGGCAGTGACAATGCTCCTACCAGGCGCGGTGCTACCATCCCCTCAGAATTTTCCCTGATCAGTTTGTCCTCTCACACATGGTGCACGTCACATCGTGTTCCTGACACCCAACATTTGAAACCAGTCTTTCACTTGTTTCATTGGTCCTAAATCTGGCAAACTTAGTGTTCAAAATGTTTACTGCAAATACAACAACCCAGGAGGCTAATATTTCTGCTGTTATGGATCTTTACAGGCTGAATAAGTCTGAAGGGTTAAATGCAGATTTGATCTAATTTTTTGTGTCCATTTGCAGATTGCAGAATTGCCAAACTGGCAGACGTGGTGTTCATCGTCGATGAGTCTGGAAGCATCGGAGATCCCAACTTCCAGCTGGTCCGAGCCTTCCTGCACTCCATCATCAACGGGCTGGACATCAGTCCGACCAGAGTCCGAGTGGGCATCGTCCTGTACAACACAGAGCCTACGGCGCATGTCTACCTGGACACCTTCAGCAACAAAACCGAACTGCTGAACTTTGTCAGAATCCTTCCTTATCGAGGAGGGGGTACAAACAGTGGAGCCGCCTTGAATTTCGCCCGCGAGAATGTCTTCATCGAGGACAAAGGAAGCAGGAAGGCAAAGGGTGTCCAGCAGGTGGCAGTGGTGATCACTGACGGAGAGTCTCAGGACAACGTGAGCGAAGCAGCAGCTGATCTACGGCGTGCAGGAGTCACCGTTTACTCGGTGGGAGTTCAAAATGCCAACGAAGCGGAGCTGCAGCAGATAGCCTCCTATCCTCCGCAGAAACATGTGTTCATCGTGGACAGCTTTGCCAAACTGAAATCTCTGGAGCAGAGCCTGCAGAAAATCCTCTGCTACAACATCTTACAGCAGGCGTTCTCTGTGGTTACAAGAAGATCCGACATCAAAGAAGGTTGGACTGTTGTTCAATAAATGATCCAGTTTTCAGTTTTTGTTACCAATCAATGATTCGACATCATGAGGACAACTCTCACAAGTTTGTGTTTCTGTTGCAGGCTGCGTTCAAACAAATGAAGCGGATATCTTTTTCCTCATTGACCACTCAGGAAGTATTAACCCACCAGACTTCCAGGACATGAAGAAGTTCATGCTGGAGTTCATCAACACCTTCCGTATTGGACCGCAGTACATCCGCTTAGGGGTTGTAAAATACTCCGATTCACCAACTCTGGAGTTCGATCTGATGGACTACACTGATTCACAGTCTCTGGAGAAAGCTGTGGAGGGAATCCAACAGGAAGAAGGAGGCACGGAGACAGGGAGGGCTCTGGCCTTCATGGGTCCTCTATTCAAGAAAGCCGCAATCACTCGAGGCCAGAAAGTCCGGGAGTACCTTGTGGTCATCACAGATGGAGAGTCCAACGACATGGTCAAGGCTCCTGCAGAGGCTCTACGCACTCAGGGTGTCACCATCTACGCCATCGGTGTGAAGGACGCCAAGGAGACGGAGCTAAAGGAGATCTCCGGCAACCCCAGGTTGACCTTCTTTATCAACAACTTTGATGCCCTAAGCCTGATCAAGGATGACATCATCACCGACATCTGTACTACTGACGGTATGGTAGATAAGTGCTCGACCTCTGAGAAGTTTTAGGGGGTTGTTTTTGTATTTTGCTAAAGGTAGCAGAAGGCTAGCTAAAAGTACCATAGAAAAATAGTTTGCTAAATTAAGCAAAATGGTAGCTAAAATTAGCAAAGCAGGAGCTAAATGTAGCTAAGGGTAGCTAAAAGTAGTAAAATGGTTGCTAAAATAGATGAATGGTAGCTAACTGTAGCAAAAGGTTTTTGAAATTTTAGCTGAAAATAGAATGGTAAATAAAAGTAGTAAAATAGTTGCTAAATGTAGCAAAAGGTTAGCTAAAATTAGCAAAAGTTTAGCTAAAATTAGCAAAAAGATAGCTAAAAGTAGCAAAGGGTAGCTAAAAGTAGTAAAATAGTTGCTAAAATAGTGGAATGATAACTAACAGTAGCAAAAGGGTAACTAAAGTATCTCAACATGTGTTTCTCAACCTGCCATTGTGTATCTATTCCTACCAAACCCAGCCGGTCGAAGCAGATGGTCCTCTTGTCCTGATCCTGGTTCTGCTAAAGGTTTCTTCCTCATGAGGGAGTTTTTCTTTCCACTGTCGCCTTCATGCTTGTTCAACATGAGAGTTCAGTGATGGAGTTAAACTCAAAGCTGCTCCTCAGATAAATAATGTTCAATTATTATTTTATACATTAATGTTTCTGTTAAATTATTATTTTATACATGAATGTTTCTGTTCAGTCCCTGAGACGACTTCTGTTGTTACCTGGAGCTTTAGAAATAAACTGAACTGAATTGAATTGAAAAGGGTAGCTAAAAATAGTAAAATGTTAGCTAAAAAATAGTACAATTATAGGTAAAAGCCAAAAGTAGCTGAAGAATAGCTAACAACAGCACAAGACAAAAACAAAGCCAGTAGCTGAAGCAGATTTTAAGCAATGTTTTGGAAGGAACTTTATAGATCCCAATGTGTTTCTATGATGGAAATATTAAATAAAGTTAAATATTGTGACATTAATCTCCTGAGTGAGGTGAGCGTTTTCATAAATGACTAAAGTTGCACACAAATTCTGGATAAGTAGTTAGATTTTTAAAATCATGGAAAGATTAAAGACAGTAAAACGGAAGTGCCACCTCAGCATTCATACAATGACACGTGTTTTTTGATTGATCCTGATGAGATCTGGACTGAACCTCCCTGACACTGATCGTGTCGTTTCATTTGGTTTCAACTAGTACTGTCAACGTTAACGCATTAACGCATGCGATTAATCTAAAAAGATTAACGCATTACTATTACATAATGCACATTAATCGCGTTACCCATTTTGACGTGTAAAGTCTCTATCCTGCCGAGGGTTACCTGGTTATTCTCCAGCTCCACCTTCCAGTTTAGTGGAGGCAGTAATGCACTTAAATTAGTTTGCCAACCGCCAATAAAATCAAAAGAAGAAGAAGGGTTACATGTTTTGATCACATGGATGACACTTAATGAGACATTTAACATTTATAAATTAATGTTTGAAACAAAATTACTTCTGTAAACCTTACTGAGTATGAAAACCTGGAAAACTGTTTGGTTTGAGACAATAAAACATTTTCTTCAACATTTTATGAAAACCTCCATATTTACATTTCAAGCTTACAAAGTTAAGCATAGTGATTAATTGTGATTAATCACAGTCCCAGAATGTGATTAATCGGATTAATTTTTTTAATCGATTGACAGCACTAGTTTCAACATAACATGCAGACAAACCAGCAAAGGCTAACGTGATCTGTGCTGATCTGTCGGCAGTTTGCAAAGACCAACCAGGCGACCTCCTGTTCCTAATCGACAGCTCGGGGAGCATTTATCCTGAAGACTACGACAAAATGAAATCGTTCATGAAATCTGTCATCAGCACGTCCTTCATCGGGAAGAACGAGGTGCACGTTGGCGTCATGCAATTCAGCACAGAGCAGCAGCTTGAGTTCACCCTCAGCCGCTACTTCACCAAAGGTGACATGCTGGCAGCCATCAACGGCATGCAGCAGATAGGTGGAGGAACGCTGACGGGCCGAGCAATCGCTGAGGTGTCTCAGTACTTTGACACAGCCAGAGGAGGACGTCCAGATCTGCGGCAGAGACTTATAGTCATTACTGACGGCGAGGCCCAAGACACAGTCAAAGGTCCTGCTGAAGAGCTGAGGGCCAAAGGAGTTGAGATCTACGCCATTGGAGTGCTGGAGGCAAACACCACCCAGCTGCTGGAGATCAGTGGATCTCAAGACAGGGTGTACTCTGAGAGGGACTTTGACGCTTTGAGGGACCTGGAAAGACAGGTGTCCATGGAGCTGTGTGATCCAGGGAGAGGTGAGCAAGTAATCTTTTTTTATCTATATTTTCAAGCACCACACTGTAGAAGTTGTAATGTTGAAGGACCCGTCACAGTCTGAAGGTGGAGGAGAAGCCATTAAGGATTATTTCATCTAACCAGACTTTCATTTTACTTCCAGACTGCAAGAAGACAGAACAAGCGGACGTCATCTTCCTGGTGGACGGTTCCACCAGCATAACCCTGCCCAAGTTCAAGAGCATGCAGCTGTTCATGCAGGCCATGGTCAACCAAACCACCGTTGGCAAAAACCTGACCCGCTTCGGAGTCATTCTCTACTCCACCAACCCCAAGTCGGTTTTTACTCTGGATACATACAGCACCAGGCAGGAGGTGTTCAAAGCTATATCAGACCTCAAGTCCCCGTTTGGAGACACCTACACCGGAAAGGCTCTCAAGTACTGTCTTCAGTTCTTTAATGCCGAGCACGGAGGTCGGGCAGAGCTTCAGGTGCCTCAGATCCTCATGGTGATCACTGACGGCGACGCCACCGATCGTCACAGTCTGGTGGAGCCGTCGTTGGCGCTGAGGAACAAAGGAGTCAACGTCTTCAGTATTGGTGTGGAGGGAGCCAATGTGACTCAGCTGGAGATCATGGCCAGTCAGGACAAATCCAAAGTTTTCTACGTGGACAGCTTTGCTGCTCTGGAAACTCTCTACAAGAACATCACTCAGGTGCTCTGCAACTACACCAAACCAGGTAAGAAGGTCCCTGAAGGTCCAGTTCAGTATCAGCCAGCGGGTGAGATGTTTCCGTTTGTCTGCTTCTGATCATGTTTGGTGTTTCCTCAGTGTGTGAGAAGCAGAAGGCCGACCTGGTTTTCCTCCTCGATCAGTCCAGCAGCATCAACCAGCCTGACTATGCCATCATGAAGCATTTCACCAATGAACTGATCAACAGCTTTAATGTCAGTGAGGACATGGTGCGCGTTGGACTCGCCCAGTTCAGCAGCGTCTTTCAGGATGAGTTCTATCTGAACAAGTTCTATATGGAGAAGGAGATGTCCCACCACATCCAGAACATGCAACAGCAGGGCGGAGGCACCAAAATTGGAGATGCTCTGTACTCCATCAAGAAATATTTTGAGGCCTCGCACGGCAGCCGCAGATCAGAAGGAATCTCCCAGAATCTGATTCTGATCACTGACGGAGATTCTGACGATGACGTGGAGGACGCAGCTTTCCTTCTCCGATCCATGGGGATTGAGATGTTCGCCATTGGAATCGGGAACGTTCACGATCTGGAGCTGCTGCAGATCACTGGTGATCCAAGGAGGCTGTTCACGGTGAAGAGCTTCGGCAGCCTGGAGACGATCAAGCAGAAGGTGGTCGACACCATCTGCAAGTCCAAACCTTCCAAAGAAGAATGCGGTGAGTGAAGCGGTTCAACGTAAAACTCCTCGTTTCTTTGGACATTCTCCAACACAACTGTGTTTTCCTGCAGACTGCTCCATCGACATCGCCATGGGGTTCGACATCTCTCGAAGACGAGCCACTCCCGGTGAGATGCTCATCAGCGGTCAGAACAAGCTGCAGGCCTTCCTCCCAGAGATCGCCCACTACCTTTCTTCAGTGCCATACCTGTGCTGCACCAAAGCATCCGTCAGCACCAACTTAGCGTACCGGGTGGTGAGCCGTGACGGGCGCGTTCTGCACGACTACAACTTTGAGAACTACAGCCAGGATGTGGTGAGGAAGGTCATGACCTTGAACTTAGCCGAGCCCACGTACTTCAACACGGCCCTGCTGAGGTCCTTCCAGGAGAAGTTCAGCTCCAAGTCCAATGCAGGCGTGAAGGTGAGGCCCATTCTACCTTTGTAAAGATCTTCATGTTCTGTGACATGAAGGCTTACCGCAGCGCTAAACAAAAACTCCATCACTTCTTCCTGAACAGAAGAACCAGAACCACAAGGAACCTAGAACCCAGAGCCACAGTCTTTAAATAATTCAGCCTATAATGTTGTCCTGACTGTCCATTTTCACATCCAGCTGTTTTTAAACTTCTGTTTTTTCATCTTTCAAACTGAACAGCTGTTGTTGTCCTGCGTCACGGAGCAGTGGGGGGGGGGGGGGTATAACTACCCTCCATCCATCCCTGCATGTTGTGGTAACTTGGAAAATAAGCAACTAGCCGACTTACGTTTTGGTATGTGACTGCAGCTCGGCATAAGTCACCATCAAAAACTAGGTTGCCAGTTCAAAACCCAGAGTGGCCACCACCATATTTATATGTAAACCGGCCACACCTGTCATTTGAGAAAACTATGCTTTCTAGTTTTTATTTTACTAAAAAGTATAGTTTCCTCAAATGACTGGGGTGACCTATGGGGGCCAAGGCCACTATCGCCCCAAGCTGTTTAATAACTTTACCTAATGGAAGCATATATAAAGTAAAGACTATTGGGCCAAGCACTGAACCTTGAGGAACTCCATGACTAACTTTGGTGTATGAAGAAGATTTATTATTTACATTTACAAACTGGAATCTATGAGATAGATATGATTTAAACCATTTTAGAGCTGTTCCTGTAATCCCAACATCATATTCAAGCCTCTGTAGTAAAATATTGTGATCAACTGTATCAAATGCAGCACTGAGGTCTAACAGGACCAGTAGAGACACAAGTTCATTGTCTGAGGCCATGAGAATATCATTAGTGACTTTTACTAGTGCTGTTTCTGTGCTATGATGAGCTCTAAACCCTGACTGAAACTCTTCAAACAGATTATTTCTTTGTAGATGTTCACACAACTGACCTGCAACTACTTTCTCTAGAATTTTTTAGATGAAAGTTAGATTAGATATAGGTCTATAGTTGGCCAGGATTTATGAATCAAGATCAGACTTCTTAAGTAAAGGTTTAATTACAGCAACCTTAAAGCTCTGTGGTACATAACCATTTATTAGAGACAAATTAAGCAAATCATGATCAGATCATATTGCGTGTGTGGGATGGAGCAGTGAGCTGTCAACAAAGGCGCCTGGGGAGGTTAAGTGCCTTGCTCATGGGCCCAGAATGGGGCAAATGTGGGTGGAGTCAGGCGTGGGTGTTCAGGACGTTTTCTCTCTTTAATATGTTAGAATGTTTTTACTCGCGTATAAAACATTATGATCTAAATGATTTGATACACAAATAAATCATTGATTTTAATGTTTTTACTTGCATATAAAACATTAAGATCATAATGTTTTTACTCACGTATAAAACATTATGATCTTAATGTTTTCACTCACGTATAAAACATTTAGATTTTAATGTTTTTTCTCACGTATAAAACATTATGATCTTAATGTTTTCACTCACG